CTACAATAATAATAAATATTAATAGAAAAAAATCAGTCTATGGCATGTTAAAAAGAACTTTTCAAAGAGGAGATGATAAGAATCCCAAGTTCAATCTGTTTAATCAGTAGGTTTTTGTTTATTTTGCTTACTTCTGGTTTTTTGCTTACTTTTTATCAGTGTTTTGCTTACTTTGGCTGTTCCTGGTTTAATTTTGTATAGGTTAACCTAGCTGCTTAATTGCACATAACTTGTTTGCTTGTTTGTTTGTTTTTATTTGGGTATATGTAAATACATTTATGAGTAACGAGCAGTTTGCTTTTTAAATGAAAGAAAATCATTCTTCATATAAGCTGAAAGGATGCTGCTTTATTAAATATCATTTTCACACAGTGTGTAAGAAGAGTATCATAAGCTAATACTAATAAAGTCTTATTCTGTATTTCCTGTACTACATATGATATTTCACTTGCAACTTTCAGATGAGAATTTAGTCAAGCAAGACTATTGTGATGACAGAAATTCAGATGATATTTTCACTGCCTTTATGTTATATTATGTATGATTTATATAAGAGATACAGTTGAGAATTATTAGAAAAAGAAAAAGATCAGGTTATTTAAAATATATCTTTTTTCAAAATAGAGCTGTTTTAATAAAAATATCAGCGTGGAAGCTTTACTGAGTCCAAGACTGAATATGTATGTATGTATACAAACCCACTGAGAAAAAAAACAGTGAGAGGGGTCGCTTGTGGACTGTAGGAACTCCAGGAACAAATCTCCCTCCCTCTCTTTGAGTTGGTAGAATTAATTTGCTTGGGTTTCTTTTGTGCCAGGTGATGTTCCTATACAATAGATATGAGATTCATGATTTTCCAGCTCTTCTTTCTCCTCCTCTGGAATATTTGATAATATACAGAAAATAACATAAACAGGAGGAAGTAACTACTTTTACAGCCTGAATGTTGCTTTCTCACCAGTTAGGTGAGCAGCAATTCAGTCCCTACTCTCAATAAGGTGATACAGATCTTGAACTTCAGTCCATCCAGGAGAGATTAGCCACATCAGTACATCTTTAGAGGAATTCTTGTGTTTCTTTTCCCTTCCCACAAAGAAGTCAACTTCCTTTATTTGCAGTCTAATAGTGGATAGAAATTGATGTCAAAACACTGGAAATCTTTTGCTTCTCACCCGATCTTAAGAAGAACTACTCAAATGTCACAACAGAACATGGTACAATATACGATGTAAACTGTGACTTTCCAGTAACAGTAAAAAGGCATAGGCTGGAAACAGTACAGGTTGATATACTGTTCAGTGATAAATTTACCACTGAAGAGCAACAAGATTTTTGAAGATAGAATGAATCAGAGAAAAGATGAGCTGGGAACATATTGAGACTACTGATATTTTCTGGGAAGTGGTTCCAGATCTATGAATAGGCGTATAAAAGACCATAAAGTTATATGTAATTGAAGAGATGGAAGGAAAGGGGTTAAAAGATGATAAAGGAAGACATTTAATACAGAAAATATGCCCCAGTGATGGCCTTAAAAAAGGGGCAAATGTAATCTGTCAACATAAAAGATTTTAGATGTCCTGAGCTATATCAAATAATAATATTTAAAAAAAAAAAAGCCTTGTTTTCCCATAAAATCATTGAAGTAGAAGTAGATTTTGTCTTTAAAATGGTATAACTAAGTCTAGTTAGGCTAAGCAATTTTATAATAAGATTTTTAAAATTAATTAAGGTTGCTGGATTTGATGATTTTATCTTAGATGTTTGCTGTGGGCATCAGGTGCCTCAGGCTTTACTTATCTTTATTCATCTTTACTCTCTATCAGGAAAGAACAGTTTTGATGATACATAAGAAAAGTACATGTTTTCAATGCTCCAATATTCTTTTAATATGAAAGCATCACTACCAAACTCAGTTATTGCCTTACTAGTCAATGATGCACAAGGTGTGAACTATGATGTGAAATGAACTTCCATGGGTTTCTTTTCCTTTATTTTTCTTTCATCAGCTACCTGCTAGTCTTGTTACTATCAATTCACTATTTATAACCAATAAAGGTTCTTCAGTGAACTTTCTTATTTTAACATTATTTTTGCCCTATTAGTATTCCTTGTAACATTTTGCCAGTCTTCTGTTCACTGCTCCTTATCTTCTACTGCAAGGCTTAAATCACAAAATGTCCTGCTTATTGTCCTTCCACTTTCATTTTCAATACTATGTTATCATAAACCTTCCATTACTTTAACAGCTCTTCATAAAAACAGATTAAGAGATGTATATTGCTTCCTTTTTTTTTTTTAAGAATTTTACTTTGTATCATCTCTTGAATCCATAGTTTTTTCTATGTTGTTAATGATGTTTCCCCTTAATCCTGAGGCTTGTGAGGTCTAACGTTTAAGATTAATTTTAAACATACCCAGGGCCACTACTGAGAGTGGTACTTGCTCAAATTGAAAAGATGTGTTTGTATGTTTACACTTAAGTAAAATTCTTGATTATTTTGGCAAAGGAGAAGATTGGAAAGTTTAACCAAATGCCTTCTTCAAAATATAAAATGTATGCTTAAGAATTTAAGGTATCATTCTTCAGATTTGGAGATACAGTCACATAAAAATGTTTATGTGCACAAAAGTAACAGAGATGACAAGGTGCCAAATGAAATCATTGACAATATTTACTATCAATGAGAAGTGTAATTTCTCAAAATATTGCACTACCAATGTGTTTTAGAAGTAATCTGAAATTTCATAAATGACCAAATATGTCTTTGGTTTTAGTTTTCCACGTGCTTTATAATAATCAAGAGGCTTTTATTCAGCAGGATGAACTGTTGGATTCTTCTTATTTTTTTTTTTTTTCCCTGACTCAAAATTGATGCATGTTTGTATCACCGGGTTTCAAAGGCAGCAGCATAAATTAAGATTCAAACATCCTGCTGTATGTTATTTAGCTTTTCTCAGGTCCAGCATCTATATTATTTATTTCAGTTGAAGAGCTGAAATGTCTTCAAAGTTACCTGATCTTTAAACTTGTAATTTAAGGCAAGTAGCTTTACCTCAAATTCCTTTGATATATTTCATTTGAGAAAAGGCCTGAGGTGTTCAAAGAATTTCACAGACAGAGTGAGCAACAAAAATCTATTCCTTGAAAGACAGGGAAAATATTTTTTTTCCTCCTTTGAAATCTGATTTTAGGTTACATGTCAAAGTATTTTATTTTCATTTCATTGAAGATCCTTGTTATAAAACATTTGTTCATACAGTGTCTGCGTTTGAGAACAAAGTTCTACACTTTAAGTTATTACATGATTCAATATGATAAAGCACTTTGTTGTTTTACCTTACCATGTCTTATTTTTTTATTGATGATGCTTTTCTTAATCATCATTTTCTTTATATGGTGAAAGTGATGAATATTACACCTGGGATGGGGCAATCCAGGCACAGCTACAGGCTGGGCAGAGAAGAGATTCAGAGCAGCCCTGCGGAGAAGGGCTTGGGGGTGTTGGTCAATGAGAAAATGAACATGAGCCAGCAGCGTGCGCTCGCAGCCCCGAAAGCCAACCATATCCTGGGCTGCATCAAAAGGAGTGTGACCAACAGGTCGAAGGAGGTGATCCTGCCCCTCTACTCTGCTCTTGTGAGACCTCACCTGGAGTACTGTGTGCAGTTCTGGTGTCCTCAACATAAAAAGGACATGGAACTGTTGGAACAAGTCCAGAGAAGGGCCACGAGGATGATCAGGGGATTGGAGCACCTCCCATATGAGGACTGGCTGAGGAAGTTGGGGCTTTTCAGCCTGGATAAGAGAAGGCTGCGTGGAGACCTCATAGCAGCCTTCCAATATAGGTGAAGGGGGCCTACAAAGATGGCAAAGAGGGACTCCTCATCAGGGGCTGTAGCAATAGCATAAGGGTTAATGGATTTAAACTTAAACAGGGGAAGTTCAGCTTAGATATAAGGAAGAAGTTCTTTACTGTGATGCTGGTGAGGCACTGGAGCAGGTCACCCAAAGAAGTGGTATATGCTCTATCCCTGGCAGTGTTCAACGACAGAGCCTTGGGTGACATGGTGTAGGGTGAGAAATCCCTACCTATGGCAATGGGGTTGGAACTAGTTCGTTCTTTCCAACCCTAACCTTTCTATGATTCTGTAAATCTATGATCCTACTCCTTTGAGCATAAGCTTTAAGTATTGCAGGATTACTTATGTGGAAATTATTAATAACTTTAAGTAAAATCCCCAATTCTTTTGTATTTAAGAAAAAAAAAAGAAATGAAAAAAAAAAGTCATTTTTAGATTTTTTTTTAGTATCATTTGAAAGTTATTATCATTTGAAAGCTAATCCTGAATATCTAGATGGTATTAATAAAATTAATAAAATAAATAATGATAAAAAAGTTTCCTGCCTGGTATTTTGTGCACATCATACAATATGTCAATAACACATGTTATACTTGCAACCAATCTCTACTTTCCAATTTTGGAAATTTTTGTCTGCCTGTGTTTTTTTAAATTCTTTTTTTTTTAATACATCTATATATCTGCTTTAAATCTGGTCCAATCCTTCCTTTCTGTAAAACATATGATATATAAAGAATTACAACCTTGAATAGTATAAATTTCACACTCTCCTGCGATGAGTCATGTAATTTGCAAGTGACAAAATCTGAAAATTGCTTATTATTTTCTTCCTTTTTTAGATCTATAGAAGTCTTTTTATATGTATACCCAGTCATGTAGCTTTTATTTATAAATTATTTTAAACTTTTCTCTTATTTTTATTATTGCCATTCTGTCTAAATAATGCATTCTTAACTTCATGTTTACCTCCCCCTATTTTTATTTTTCAACACATGCGTCATTCCTCTCTGTATCTTATTCTTCTTATGTTTTTTCCACTTCACTTCTAACTGTTTATGTGTCCTGCTCAGTTGTCCCATATTTCTTGAAATTCCTGTCTACCTTGCAGAAAGGACTTTTAAATATTTTTGTTTCAGATTTATTTCCTGAATACTTTTCCTGAAGTTGAGTAGTTCCAGTTTGCCATCTAAAGAAGTACTGTTCATGACAAATATATATTCAAAAGAGAAATAATCCTGCTGCACCAAGCAAGAAGGTCATGATAATACCTCATTCATTTGAACTGGCAATATATGTTTTCCTTGAAACTTATTCCTATGACCTAGCTGCAGAATTAAGTCTAATTTTGTTCTTTCAGTTAAAACTTAAAAGTTTAATTAATAGGTTTTATCTTAAGAGAAAAGACAAGATGGATAATTTCCCCTTTGAGATAGATAGTAACAGCAAGTGTAATTTATCTTTTTTAAAGGAATAGCAATTTGATAATTTCATGATTGCCTTGTTTGTCTCAATTTTGCATAGAACTTTGCCTAATTATTTGGCCACATTTTTCTTGTGAAGCTTTAATAGGGGAATTTGCTGGACTAAAAAAAAAAAAAAAATTTACTAAATTCACAGTCTTGAATTTCAGTACTAACATGTTGGTTGAAATCATGGCATATATCCTAGCAATAAAAATTAAATGTAGGTTTACACATCATAATGTAATTATGTAAGTACAACGTAATGTGTGTAAGTACTAAAACTGCGTAGCTGCATGGTTGGTAAGTATAACAGCATCAGTAACAAAATGAGAGAAAGGAATAAACCAATAGATTCAATCTGCAGTCATTCTCTCATAGTACTGTACTTTTTCTCACTGTAATTTCTGTTTTTCTAAGTGTAACATAATTAATAAGTGTGTCACAGGCTGCTCTAATTAGAGATAATATTTATCACAATTGGGATTGTGAATTCTGATTATGCTTTTATAAAGCTAACTTAACCTCTCACATGTTCCTAATAAAGATTGAAAAAATTGTGTCCATTTTACCAAAACACTTTCTGGCAGAATAATACATTACCTGTGTCTAACAGCATGTTTACCACTTTTGGAAATGGACAGATGATTTGAGATCTTAAGTATTTCAGTAGATATATTAACACTGTTAAAGGCATCAGCTGAACTGTTAATGAAAATGCAGTCAGAAAACCGGAATTTACTTATTCCAAAAGTGCCCTGGAAAGACTGCTCAACAAGGCTGTTTCCCCTGGCACAGAGTAGGCACTACCACATTGTTTCACTAAATGGCTGCTTTGGCACTAATGATATGTGTGAGTTTTGGCTCATTTCTGATATACCCACATAGATACAGCTTGACACTATCCATAAATATATATTTTATGTAGCTCATGAGAGAGAAATACTGTACACAACGTCATGGCTTTACATAGTCCTGTTTCTGCAGTTATTAAGATTTGCATTTGTAATCAATTTTAATTTCAATTTATAACCCATCATGTTCATTTGGAATTCTTTGTGCAGGCAGTAACATCTGTGCTAATGAATTTTGTGTGATGCCTCATGAATAAATAATAGTTCCTTCTAGTTTTGCTGAAAAAAAAATCAGCCCTATATTACTGATATTTGTTTAAGAGGTCATCAAATTGAAACTGTTTTCTGCAGTATTTAATAAAAGATGCTGTATTATATACACCTGACATAAATGACCTATAGAGACAGATGCTCATTATAGAGCAATTAGATAAAACATCAAACACATCTTGTTCCACATCAACAATTTCATTTTTTTACAAAATAATAGTAAGAGGAGCCAGAACAGGCATTTTGTCTTGCTATGCATTCTATACTTGAATTAAAGTTGGAAACACTTAAGAAGAACTTTCATTGCTTGTTTGGATAGAAGTTGATCTAATTTCCACTGCCTAAAATTAGTCTGGAAAAACCTTTGAGAATGGGCCCGTAGGATTTTTGTATTCAGGACAAATTGAACAGCATCTGGTCCAATAACATTTTTCAGTAGAGGCAGTTAATTTACACACTTCAGCACATCCGTTTTTTGAGCTTCTTTGAATATGGATATATTGAAGATAGGATGTAATCATTCTTTTTCTGTATGGTTTACTATTTTGTTTATTTTATTGTTTGTTTTTTTTTTGTGTGGTTTTATTTTGTTGTATGTGAAAGAGAGGAACTGTTCTTGTTGATGGGGGATAATGGAGGGTTTTTTAAGTAAAGCAGGAACTGTCTTCCCTCTCCTTTTTCTGTTAATATATATATAATACATTACTGTATCAAAAGATGGTGAGATCCTGGAGACATTTCTTAAGCAAAAGTGTCAATGGGATACTATTAGCTGACTTACATCAATATGAATTTCTGATAACAACATAGCTCAAACCTTACAATGAAAGACAAAACAATTCACTGCCCAGTATACACTGAGACAGATTAGGAATCATAACAATTAAGCAGAAAAAAAAATAGTTCTTTTATTATTGTATTAAGTATTAGTTTTGCACAGATGTCTATTGTAAATAGTGTTTCATCTGATACCTTAAATCCTGTTAAAGTGAAAAACAGAATTTTTGTTTCTCATAGGCAACACAAAATAGATCTTCAATATTTGAAAAAACTATAAACAAGATCATCATAATATACTAAATTCAGGATTAAGAAAAAAAATAGAAAAACTCTTCACTACCATCATACAACAGTTTTCTTAGATTTCAGAAACCCAGGTGTGTAGCATCAAGTACTGAAGAGAGAGTAAGGTAATTCTGAAAATAAAAAATATAGTTAATGAAGTTTGAGTTGAAATAATGTAATTCAAAGAGATTGTTAGTTTTTATTTTAACTTGTATTATTACTAAATACCTGACGAATTGAACATTAAGTGCATTCACTATATTAACTTTTCCATTGCGAAAGTTGAAACTTCTCTAGGTTAAAACCTAGGTAAATGCATCTCATTATAAATATATGCAGAAATAGATTGTCAATGCTTACCTAGCTATTGTAACTGGTGTTTCAAAAGCTATAGGCAATACAACGTTATTACAACAAATCAAACCACAGTAATTTTCAAGAACATAAAATTTGCATATATTACCTTGAACTGATACCTGACAGAGTGAGTGGCATTTCTGAAGCTATTTCATATTATGCTTAATCCTTCAAAATGGCAGGGAAAGCAGTATAAATGCTTTAACATTTCCTTGCCTTAATGAAAGAGGTTAGTTTTCAATGTTCTGGTGATGTGTCTGCCAATTTGTTTTCTTTTTTTTCTTAATGAACCCAAGTTGTTTATTAGTGGCTTAATATATTTTTCATTAGTTTCCTAGCAGCATAATGGTTAGAAACAGGTAGGCTTTTCTCATTTAATAGTAGATTTACCTTTTTTAATGTCTTTTGTCTTACATGGTTCAGTAATTTGGAGAAATGAAAACAGTACAGTAAACAAATTATACTTTTCATCTGTTGTGCTTTTCTCTTAGCTCTGTGTGTAGAGTTAATGTTAGAAAAATTTCTGTGAAAGGAAAAGGCTGAAGACTTGTTCAGCTAGGAACTGCATAGAATTAGCTGATAAGAGCAACTTATTTCAATTTACTGAATCACTCAGTAAATTCATGGAGGTTTAGTCCATTTTGAAATATCCTTTCCACCAGATTACCAAGTCTGAAATGCAGTCAGCCTTCTAAAGGTGAGTCATGACGCAAGAAGGCCAGAGACAGAAAGAAATGCAGAGACCATGTATCTGCTTTAATTTGTGAAGGTTTCCTCTGAGAATGGAAATCCTTTGATTTCTTCTTGTGTGGGTACACTTCTGTCCTCTAGCTTTTTCAATAAGTCCCTAAATGTAAGAAAAGAAAACAACCTTTGCTAATGATAAAGGGCTCCTCTTCCTATTAGATCTTAGCATCAAGCTCCTATTATCTTTGACTCACAGTGCACAGCCTGGATCTAAGGAAAATCCCCTGTAGAGAGTAACATGGCTCTCAATACACTTTTCTGAAAAATAGAGGTCATTGGTCAACCTTGAAAACTTGATAGCTTGAAATTCCTGCTGTTTAGCTGAGTGTGATAGTCAATTGCCCCAAACAAGTCTGGGTCAGAAGCTCTAATTACTACAGGAATATTATTAGAAATGAAAGGTTTGGTTTTCTAAACCTAAAACTCAAGTTCCTCAAAGGACTACCAGGTAGCAGTTTCTCAATGCTCCCAGGGTATACTGACTTAGGGAAAAAAAAGATATTAAGAGAGTCTTCCTTAATTTTGAGAGTTTAGTCTGTTACTATTTGAAGCTTCCTAAACTAGGTGGAACCCTAGCCTATGTGCTTAACTTTGCTTACATTTTAAAAGTCTGAAAGTTCAAGAATATTTATGCTGTCTTCTGATAAATAGTAAAAAGATTTCTAGGGATCTAACATAACTGCACCATTTTCATCTTCCAATATGAACACTAACTACCTTTAGATAATTAATTAAAATCATTATGGTGACAGTATACATGACGTACATTTTTGTGTTCAAAGACAAATCTTGAGTCTTGGAGGAACATAGGCCTTTAAAACTCTCCTTCTGTCATTCATGCTGGTAATTGTGTAAATGAGTCTCACTTGGAATATAATCAGGAACATGAAAAATATTCTCCATACAATTTTCAGTAATCATATTCTTTGCAATCTTAGAAATCATCAAAATATTCTTGTGACCATGGGTTGAATTTTCATCTTTTTTTTTTTTTTGTTCAGGAGAACAACTAAACTTGTCTTTACTGCTGAGTTGGCAGAAGTATATAATTTAACAAGAATGAATAGAAGTAGGTGTCTTATCACTGTGTGTTTATCTGTTCACTAGCAGATTGTTTTGTATTCATAGGATATCTACCTTTCAGTGGGAAATAAAGAGCATAGGCTCTAAATATTAATATTTGCTATAAATATGAATTAACATTCTAGTTAAAAATAGAAAATATGACTTAGTTGTTGAGAATTTCATACACAATGACAACATAGCCATTAACTACAAGCATAGTTCCTCTCATCCCTTTCTTTCCCCTACTTGTTTTTCTAATCAAGGACATGCTTTCTGCCCTGAGACAGGTGGGAGTTTAACAATTACTTGCAGCTCTAACACCAAGCAATTTCTTCTGGGACTGCTATCTATTACAGTTCAATTTTCTCAGCCACAGATGAAATGATCAGAATGAATTTGTTCCTTCAGAATGAAACAGAATGAATAAACTAAATGTG